GTATAGCGTAGCAGGTGTAGTTCCCAGGTTATATAGTAACACCTTCAGGTGGCCTAATATTCTGGATAATCATAGGATATTCCTTTTTCCATGACTCACAAGGTGACCAATTAGTTTTCTGATATACATAAAGGCTCAAGAAACAAGTTTCTACCTCGGGAGGTAAGGTTAGGGGCACGGTACCCAAATGAGGTTGTGCTCCCCCACAAACATAACAGTTGGTTCTATTATGTGAGTTAGCATTATATCTCATCCATTCAAGCCACAGATTAGTATCTGAGAAACCAGTCTCTAATGCCATAGTGTCTTCAAATGTGGGGTTAGCTATAGCTACCATGTATTTGAGAGTCTTAATGCGTGGTTTCAGAGGATTAGTGGTCATGTGATGGGTGTCTACACATTCGGGTGATTGATACATTTCCTGTAGATAGAAAGTCCCTTGTCTATTGTAAGAGCCACCCCCTTTCCAGTACATCCCCATTACGTACTCTCCAGCATCTCTGGGGTTAGGGTGCTTTATGTTTAGGGTGAGTTTCATTGGAGTTGTCTCCCCTGGTTTCTGTAGAGTAATTCTATACAGTAAGGACTTCCCATTTCTATCCACCCTGTTTAAGGCTCTCTGTGGTCTATTGTAAGAGCCACCCCCTTTCCAGTACATCCCCATTACGTACTCTCCAGCATCTCTGGGGTTAGGGTGCTTTATGTTTAGGGTGAGTTTCATTGGAGTTGTCCCCCCTGGTTTCTGTAGAGTAATTCTATACAGTAAGGACTTCCCATTTCTATCCACCCTGTTTAAGGCTCTCTGTGGTCTGTAACCCCATGGTAGTCATGTGTTCCAACCCGCCGTCTTCCAGAATTTACAGTCATGTCCCCAATAGTCATCTGTCACACATATGTAAGGGTCTTTGATGTTGGGTATATCTTTGTATACTGTTGGTAGCAATGATTGTGAGAATGTACAACTGACAATATCACAGTAATCAAATGTAAACGTAGCTACGTGTGTGTTAGAAGAGTTGTTCCAAAATGTGTAAGCATGATTATCTTTAGTAATAGCAACTTGTTGGGCCTCCATGAGGCCTAGCAGCAGGAAAAGGTACAGGAAGCTCATGACTTGATGAGGTTTGCTTCCTCTGGAGCTGGAACTTTCTTGCAATGAGAGTTGTGTATCCAAGTCTTCTTCCCGGCCAATTTAACTGAGGTAGATGTAGTTAGGAGGACTTGGAAAGGACCGTTATATCTCGGCTCAAGAGAGTGTTTCCTCAGGAATCTCTTGACCAGAACCCAATCACCAGGAAGCAACTTGTGGGTGCCTGCATCAGACTCTGGATCTGGAATTGAAGAAAACACTTGTGCATGGATTTTGGTCAAAGCCAGAGAAAGGGCAGTTACATCGTCAACCAATATATCTGACTGGAGTTGGAGCTGCTGGGGAAAATAGCAGCCGAGTTTGGGGGCTGAGCCAAACAAGATTTCATATGGGGACAGGCCAAACTTTCCCCTAGGTGTGTATCTCAAACTAAACAGAGCTATGGGAAGACTCTCTGGCCAGGGCAGATTAGTCTCTTGGGACATCTTAAGCATTCTGGCTTTTAAGGTGCCATTCATGCGTTCTACCTTGCCACTACTCTGTGGGTGATAGGGTGCATGGAATGCAAGGGTCACCCCCAGTGCTGTACAGATTTTCTTAGTCACCAGTGCAGTGAAGGATGAGCCCTGGTCACTTTCTATCACTTCTGGGACTCCATATCTGCACACAACTTTGGTGAGTAGACGTTTGGCTGTAGTCTTGGCTGTCATGTTGGTGACTGGAAAGGCTTCTGGCCATCCTGAGAACATATCCACTATGACCAGTGCATATTCATACTGGCCACTTTTTGGCATCTGAATATGGTCAATTTGGATCCTCTGGAAGGGATGTTGAGGCTTGGCTAGATGTTTGGGGGGTGGGGGGCTTTTTCCATTCTCCCGGGGTTGCACTTGGCACAGATGGTACAGGATCTGCACTAGTTCTTGGTCAGAGAAGTGATACCTGGTGCTTCAAAGTACTTGTTGATCAGGGAGTTAATGAGATTCTTGGACAGGTGTGCTGCTCCATGGGCCCACTGGACCACTGCTGGGTACATGGTTTTAGGTAAACAGAACTTGAGGTTAATGGTATGTATTCCATCTTGGAGGATTGCTCCTTCTTGTGGGAGGGGCATCAACGCATATTTCTGTGTGGTATCGGGGGTAACCGGTTGTCTTGCAGTTCACTATTCTTTTGTGACACCCTCAGTGGTAAGTTGATCTTGATCTGCAGTGCTCCATGTGCTGGCCAATGGGCTAAGTTCTTTCCATGAGATTTCTGTGGATTTGGTGAGAGAGACGTGAGGAACAGCCACCTCCCAGTGATGATGCATGTGGTTTACTTCCATGGGTAAATGGACTAGGGCCACACTATTTCCTTTAGCGTCACAGAACATATCTGTCACGATGAGGCATACCTCCACTAATTTGAACAGCTCTTCTTCATAGTGGGGATCTGGTCCTGGGGTATTTCTGAACCACAAGGTGCAATGTAGGAAAGGTTGCTCATCATGTGGAATGGTGGGTTTTCGTACCTGCAACTCAAAGGCAATGTCAGGATTTATGTCAAGGCTGTACCATTAGTGTGGCAGAAGAGTGGCCGGATTGAGTGTGTAGCATCTTTGCAAGGTGATGTTGTCAGGTAAAAGAAGATAGGTTTGCAGACGGAGATGTCTCTGGGATGAGAGATGTTTTGGTTGGACTTGATTAAGGATGGCAGTAATGTCATGAGGCGCAAGTATGACAAGCTTGTGACCAAGGATTAGATCGTTTGTTTTGTCCAGGAGTGCACAGGCAGCAAAGACTGCACGTAGACAGGAGGGGCCTCCTCTTGCCATAGGGCCAAGTTGACAGGAGTAGTAGCGAATAGGACATTGGCGAGAACCATGAGACTGTGTGAGAAAACCAGATGCATGACCCATTCTTTCTGAGCCAAAGAGTTTGAAAGGCTTCTGATAGTTAGGGAGGCCCAATGCAGGTGCTGAGGAGATAGCTCGCTGCAGAGCGAAGAAACTGGAGAGAGCTTCAGGAGACAGGGAGAAAGGTTCAGTCTTGAGTGCATCGTAGAGAGGTTGCATTTGGGTGGATGCTTCAGGTATCCAGGCCCTGCAGTAAGAGATGAGGCTCAGGGAAGCATGGAGGGGCTTGTGGGCTGTTGATGGAGAGATGGCTGTGATTCCTCATACTCTGTCTCGGGTGAGGTGACGGGTGCCATGGGAAAGTCAATGTCCCAAGAAGACCACAGAGGGACGGCACCATTGTAGCTACTGTTTGGAGGCCTTGCAGCCTTGTTCTGCTAGAAAACAAAGGAGATCTTCTGAGGAACTTCAGCAGTTGGGAGGTCATCTACACAGAGGAGGAGGTCGTCCACATACTGGAGGAGGACCACATCAGTGTGAGTCTTCTGTCATGGTTCCAGAATGATTGGCCTTTGCAGATTGACTAGGTGGATTCTGTGCTCCTTGAGGCATGACAGTCCAAGTATACTGCTGGCGGTCATGGGTGAATGCAAATAGGTATTGACAGGATGGATGCAAAGGAACGCTGAAAAAGGCATTTGCTAAACCAAGCGGTGGGTGGGGGCCCTAAAGTAAAATAATGGGGGGGGGTCCTATTGTCCTCCCCCCGGCCCCACCCCTGAGCGGCGGGTGGGGGCCCTAAATACCAATAAGGGGGGGAACCTATTGTCCTCCCCCCTAGCCCCCACCCATGAGCGGTGGGTGGGGGCCCTAAATAAAAATTGGGGGGGGGACCTAATGTCCTCCACCTGGTCCCCACCCATGAGCGGTGGGTGGGGGCCCTAAATAAAAATTGGGGGGACACACCTAATGTCATCCCCCCTGACCCCCAACCCTTAGCGGTGGGTGGGGGCCCTAAATACCAATTAGGGGGTGACCTAATGTCCTCTCTCCTGGCCCTAAATAAAAATGTAACCCCCCCCAGGTGACTAGGGGTCCCAAAACCCCTAGTCACCCCATCTCCCCGAAAAAATTAACCCCTACCACCCTCACCGTAAAAATAATGAGGGGGGGACCTTTAACTAAGTACATGTAAAAATTAAATAAAGCTTACCATTTGATGTTTTCTTTCTTCTAAAATCTTCTTTTTTCAGCCCTAAACAAGGTCAAATAAAAATCCATAATAACCGATGCACTTAAAAAAAAAAAAAAAAACGCTCTGTAATTTGACTCATAACACTCTGATTGGTTACTTAATCCACCAATCAGAGTGTTTAGAGTCAAATTAACAGGCTGTGTAAAATGACTCAAGACAACCAATCAGAGTGCTGTGACAGGTAAATGTAGAGACTTACCTGTCAGTCTCTTCATTTACCTGCCAGAGCACTCTGATTGGATGGCTTAAACCCACCAATCAGAGTGCTCTGAGCCTAATTGCAAGTCTGGTGGGATCCATTCCTGTTTCATTTTAATAAACGTGAGCTTGTCCACGTTGGCTGTGGACAGGCGGCTGCGCTTGTCTGTGATAACGCCCCCTGCCGTGCTAAACACACGTTCAGACAATACACTGGCTGCAGGGCAGGCCTGCACCTCCAACGCATAAAGGGCAAGCTCAGGCCATGTGCCCAATTTGGAGACCCAGAAGTTGAATAGGGCAGACCCATCAGTCAGTACGTGTAGGCGTGTGCACACGTACTGTTCCACCGTGTTGCTGAAATGCTGCCTCCTGCTAAGTCGTTCCATATCAGCTTGTGGTGCTGGTTGTTGTGGCGTGCTGACAAAACTTTTCCACATTTCGGCCATGCTAACCCTGCCTTCTGAGGTGCTGGTGGTGCCCCAGCTGCATTGGCGACCTCTTCCTCCTCCTCTGCCTTTGCCTTGTGCTTCCACTGAGCCCCCGGTGTCAGTTGGGAATGCCCTCAGCAGCACATCTACCAGCGTGCGCTTGTAGTTGCGCATCTTCCGATCACGCTCCAGTGAGGGAATTAAGGACAGCACGTTGTCCTTGTAATGGGGATCCAGCAGGGTGGCCACCCAGTAATCAGCACATTAGAATGTGGGTAACTCGGCAGTCGTTACGCAGACACTTATTTGACTCTAGATAACCTCGGGCCGATCGCACGTCCCCTGCGACGGCGACGACGCATTCGGATGTCTGCCTTTTCAACTTTCGATGGTACTTTCTGCGCCTACCATGGTAACCACGGGTAACAGGGAATCAGGGTTCTATTCCAGAGAGGGAGCCTGAGAAACGGCTACCACATCCAAGGAAGGCAGCAGACGCGCAAATTACCCACTCCCGACACGCGGAGATAAATAACGAAATGACGAAAAATAACAATACATGACACTTTCGAGGCCATCTAATTGGAATGAGTACACTTTAAATCCTTTAACGAGGATCTATTGGAGGGCAAGTCTGGTGCAGAGCGACTGACCCGTGTGTGCTGCAGCTGAAACTCCACTATCGTCTGCTGCTGCTCGCACAGTCTCTCCAGCATGTGCAAGGTGGAGTTCCACCTTGTGGGCACGTTGGATATGAGGCGGTGAGCGGGAAGGCCGAAGTTACGCTGCAGCACAGACAGGCGAGCAGCAGCAGGGTGAGAACGCAGAAAGCGCGCACAGACAGCCCGCACTTTCTGCAGCAGCTCTGATATATCTGGGTAGTTTTTCAGGAATTTCTGCACCATCAAATTCAGCACATGCGCCAGGCAAGGGATGTGTGTCAAACCGGCTAGGCCAAGAGCTGCTACAAGATTTCGCCCATTATCGCACACCACCAGGCCGGGCTTGAGGCTCAGTGGCAACAACCACTCATCGGTCTGTTGTTCCATGCCCGTCCACAGCTCCTGCGCGGTGTGGGTTTTTTCCCCCAAACAGCCTGCTGTCGTTTCCCCCTGGCTGTGCTGAAGTTGGTGGTGAAGGTTTTACGCTGACCGAATGAGGAGGTGGTAGAGGAGGAGGAAGCGGAGTAGGAGGAGGAGGCAACAGGAGGCTGTAACGGAACCGCTGGCATCCCGACCGGGTACCTTCCGCCGACGGATGCTCCTAGTGCTTTCTGAGGCCTCCAAGCACTCTGCCCGACCCCATAACCACTGCAGACCCCACGAACCGCCGCAGCTTGGTTGGGGTCTCGCCGTCTCTACCAACTCTGGACCCAAGACCAAGTCCAGCTTCCAGTAGGTTGACCTCTTCGAATTCCAGAGAGCAGGAACAGGAACAAGCTCTTAGCAGAGCTTAGTGTTTATACCCTGGGGAGTATAGTGATTATAATAATCCCCAGAGTGTAGTTTCTCCAATCCAACCAAACATGAGCCGAAACTTCATGAAGGTACAAGATGATCTGAACTTTTAATGACACATACTCTGCTTTTATGCAATTCTCCCCTGCAAGGGAGACGCCCACAGACAATTACACAATACCCAATCACACAATGGTTACATCTCCTCCCCTTAGCCTGAGAGGTAACCCAATTATCCATACATTTTAAAACACTCTTTTTACCCAACTTTCATAACTCTAAAACTATACATCCAATATTCATAAAAATATATAAACATATTATTAATCAGCACACTTTAAATATAAACATAACCAAAGATCAGACAAATCCATCCAGTGAATAAAAAGTTAGACGGAAGTCCTTTATGACTGACCGCAAGCACATTTTCCTGCCCAAAACAGTTCCATAGATTTGGGCTGTGCGGTCGGTCTATTTTACACAGGCCGTTCGTGCATTTGACTTAGTATAGCAGTGAGTTCAAACTGCCGAACGGGACTTAGTCTCTGCAGCTGCAAATTCAGTGTATGAGAAGGTACAGGTCAGTGGTGTTCGGTGAAATGTGTAGCCGATTTTAGTTCCATGAAGTTGGCTGCACATACCGTTGACCTCGTGCGAAGGAACAAAGATGTCCGCCACCACGTGTTGGTTTGCACGAACTGCGGCCACCCAACGGTCGGCAATTTACCTACAGCAGGCTCCCAGCCTGGGAGGTAAATTGCCTGCACACTTCCACTTCTTGGTGGTCCACCTGTGTGGTACCTGGTTCAGTAAGCCCCATTTACAGAATCAAGTGGGAGAAAGCCATAGACAAAGTATTTGAAAGGTCTGGGGACATAGTCTTAAAGGGGCATTGTCACACAACGTCTCAATATATCCCCAGACGGTTCTTAAAGGGCCAGCATGGTCCAATACAAGTCCATAAACCACAATGCAGTTCTTAAAGGGCCAGCAGCAGCACAATATAAATCCATTAGCCCAAATAATGTTTGTAAAGTGCCATACAACCCAGGGCCGTAGTCATGAGGCAGGAGGCTGGCACTCAGGCTCCTTCAACAGCCAGGGGCAAAGGGTGACTTGTCACCTACAAATCCAGTGACAAAAGGCATTTCATCACAGAGGCAAAGAGAAATGCCCTGCAATCCTCGGTGGCGGAAGGACATGCACCAAACTGCTATGCGCCTCATGCCCAGCCGCCACTACATTTGCCCAGTGTGCAGTTAGGGAGATATAGCGTCCCTGCCCGTGCTTACTGGTCCACGTATCAGTGGTTATGTGGACCTTGCCACAGATGGAGTTGCGCAGTGCACACCTAAATTTGTCCGCCAATTGGTTGTGCAGAGAAGGGATGGCTTGCCTGGAAAAGTAGTGTCTCTTGGGAACCACATAATGTGGGACAGCCCCCGCCATCAGCTTTTTAAAACTGTCCATCTCCACCAGACAGAATGACAGCATTTAAAAGGCCAAGAATTTTGAAATGCTGGCATTCAGGGCCAGGGATCGCGGGTGGGTAGGGGGGTACTTCCTCTTTCTCTCCAGTGTTTGGGAGATGGACAGCTGAACGCTTCCATGGGACAGTGTGGAGATGCTTGGGGACGGTGGTGGACGTGATGGCATTGCTGCCACTTCCACTGTTTGCGGGGTGCAGGTGCCACTGTCACTCCAGAGGTGGAGGAAGAGGCCGAGACAGCAGCAGAAGAGGAAGCAGGAGGAGCCTGAGACCTTTCTTGGTTTTTGAGGTGCTTACTCCACTGCAGCTAGTGCTTTGCATGTAGATGCCTGGTCATGCAGGTTGTGCTCAGGTTTAGAACGTTTATGCCTCGTTTCAGGCTCTGATTGCACAGCGTGCAAACCACTCGTGTCTTGTCATCAGCACATTGTCTGAAGAACTGCCACACCAGGGAACTCCCTGTAGCTGGCTTTGGTGTGCTCGGTCACTGGGTGCGGTGGGCAGTAGCAGGCGTACTGTCTAGGGGACGGCCGCTCCGCTTTTTTACACCCTGCTCCCTCTTATGCTGTGCTGGTGCCTCTGTGCGACCACCGCCTCTTCCTCCAAACTGCACACGTCACTCACATGACCTTGATTCAATATGGGGTCTAAGACCTCATCATCCTCCACATCATCTTCCACCCACTCCTCAACCCTGCCCTCCGTGCCGGTCTGCACACTGTAGAAAGCCACAGCAGTTGGCACCTGTGTTTCATCATCAGCAGAGATGCGCTGTGGTGGTCCTCGCTTGTCCACATAATGAAACATAAGTGGTTGTACATCAGTGCACTCAATCTCTTCCACTTCTGGGGCAGGGCTAGGTGGATGGCCCACGGAAACCCCACCAGCAGAGTCATCAAAAAGCATAAGAGACTGCTGCATGACTTGTGGCTCAGACTGCTTGGCTGATTTGCAAGGGGGTGAAGTGAAAGACAGATGGCCATGGGCTGCAGGTGCCAACTCTGAGCTTTCAGCAGGGGACCGGGTAGGAGACAATGTGAAGGAACTGGAGGCACTGTAAGCCACCCAATCTACTATCGCCTGTACTTGTTCTGGCCTCACCATTCGTAGAGCGGCATTCGGGCCTACCAAATAACGCTGAAGGTTCTGTCTCCTACTCGCACCTGAGGAAGGTGTTTCACTTGTGCGTGTAGCTGGCACAGATAGACCACGTCCTCTCCCTGCAACAGGAGCTCCACCAACACCAGCAGCACCACGACCAGGGCCACGTCCCTTATTTGACGCTCTCCTCATTCTTTGCATTCACCCACCAAACTAACAGATGGTTTATGTCAGGCGACAATGTAACCGCCTATAGTCAACAATTAAGTTCACTGACAGTAAGGCAGTGCCGGTGTCCTAAAGAGAAAAAATTTCTAGACGTCACACAACAGTGTGACAGACGTAATTAATACAGTTTGTCTCAAAGTGTGATTTTTTTTAAACCAACAATGTAACAGTAGTATTTAAGGGTTTTATTGGACTGCAAGAAATGCACCGCAGGCCGCAAAAGTTCTATTTAGCACAAAAAAGTGTGATTTTTTTTTAAACCAACAATGTAACAGTAGTATTTAAGGGTTTTATTGGACTGCAAGAAATGCACCGCAAGCCTCAAATGTTCTATTTAGCACAAAAAAGTGTGATTTTTTAAACCAGCAATGTAACAGTAGTATTTAAGGGTTTTATTGGACTGCAAGAAATGCACTGCAGGCCGCAAATGTTCTTTTTAGCACAAAAAAGTGTGATTTTTTAAACCAACAATGTAACAGTAGTATTTAAAGGTTTTATTGTACTGCAAGAAATGCACCGCAGGCCCTAAATGTACTATTTAGCACGATAAAATGTGAATTTTTCAAAGTGCGATGTAACCACAGTACTTGACGGTTCTATTTGACTCTCCGATATGAAGTGCAAGCCCCAAATTTACTTTTTAGCACCAAATAAATGTGAATTTTTCAAAGTGCAATGTAACCACAGTATTTGATGGTTCTATTTGACTCTCAGATATTAAGTGCACGCCACAAATTTACTTTTTAGCACCAAAGAAATGTGAATTTTTCAAAGTGTGATGTAACCACAGTATTTGAAGGTTCTATTTGACTCTCAGATATTAAGTGCACGCCCCAAATTTACTTTTTAGCACCAAATAAATGTGAATTTTTTAAAATGCAATGTAACCACAGTATTTGACGGTTCTATTTGACTCTCAGATATTAAGTGCACGCCCCAAATTTACTTTTTAGCACCAAATAAATGTGAATTTGTCAAAGTGCAATGTAACCACAGTATTTGACGGTTCTATTTGACTCTCAGATATTAAGTGCACGCCCCAAATTTACTTTTTAGCACCAAAGAAATGGGAATTTTTCAAAGTGTGATGTAACCACAGTATTTGACGGTTCTATTTGACTCTCAGATATGAAGTGCACGCCCAAATTTACTTTTTAGCACCAAAGAAATGTGAGTTTTTCAAAGTGCGATGTAACCACAGTATCTGACGGTTCTATTTGACTCTCAGATATGAAGTGCACGCCCCAAATTTACTTTTTA